CAAGATGGATGACACCCAGGCCCCAACCTCTGGCCACTCTGGGAAGTCCATATAATGCACACACACATGGACATACATAAGCACATTCATACACACATGTTCACAGAAAGGTTTGGTTTTACCCTGTTCCATTAACATGCCCCAAAGGTAGGAATATGATCTCCACCTGCAGTCACAGCACTTAACACATGTGAGTGCTCACTAAAGTGAGTAGATGTGGACAAGGAGGCGCTCCTGCTATCTGACAGCTCACGTTTGCAGGCACCAGCCCTGTGTCCAGCATGGTGAAATGACGCAGAAGCCTCTGTCTCAGTAAACAGGCCGGATGGATGGATAGTGACTAAGGACAATGCCTGAGGTGGACTTCTGGCTTCGGTGAACACACATGCATGGTCGTCTGCATACATATTCTTACCATAAACAGGTGAACACACACAAAACCCTAGAGCAGTGGTTCTGGACCTTCCTAATGCTATGACCCCTTAATACAGTTCCTCATATTGTACAGACCCTCTACCATAAAATTATTCTTGTAGCTGCTTCATAGCTGTAATTTTGCTACGGTTATGAGTTGTAATATAAATATATGATTTGGAGATTCGAAGGACTGATGCCTGGGTCACCACCTAATAGTATCTCTTACTCCAGTTACTTTAACAATATCCTTAGTTGTGTTCTCTGCTTGCATGTTTGCCCTCTCCTAGTGTGTTTGTCATATGTCATATGTCACCATGTCATAGGCAATCCTCCATAATGCCTGTCAGAAGCCTTCTAGGGGCCATATCAACGACATTTGTGACCTGCCTTAGCTTACTACGAGGGTCATCACCTCACCTGGCATTCCTAAACCACCTCACAAACAACACTGTACCAGAGCAGCTCTGGTCCCTCACACTCAGCACACAGTTTTGGGTCTAGGTGTCTCTTAGCAGTTCTATGTCTTGGAGTGTGTTCTTCCTTTGACAGACCTCTCTATCTCCTCACTCCTCCAGATATGTATGAGCTTCAGGGAAGAGCTCTGCAAAAACTGTGGTCCTCCCTTCCTTTTCTTCTTTTCTCTTGCTCTCCTTTCCTCTCCTTTCCTCTCCTTTCCTCTCTCTCTCTCTCTCTCTCTCTCTCTCTCTCTCTCTCTTAGTCTGCCTCTTCTTTCTTTTGACATGGTCTCCTGTAGTCTAGGCTAGCATCAAACTTGCTATGTAGCTGATGATGCTCTTGAGTTCCTGATCCTCCTGACTCTACCTCCCAAGTGCTAGGCTTACAGGAGTACACCTCCATACCGGTCTTCTTCATTGTGTTGATTGTGTAATGTTTCACCTTCTCCATGGAGTGAGACTGCATTGCTCACTTTAGGACTGGTCTCTAGCACCTAAGTAACTGGCACATAACACCTGCTGAGTATGTATTTGCTAAGCAGCTGGTTGAGTCAATGAGTAATGGAGATATCATTATCCTTTCATCTACACATTTGCATGGAATGTGCAGAAACGGCAGTTCCATAGAAACAGAAGGAGCTCAGGAGTGGAGAGTGACTGCTAACGAGCAGATGGCATCTCTACGGTGATGAAAACATTCTAAAAGTAGATTGTGCAATGTTTACACAATTATGTATGTTTGCCGAGTATATTATACACAGTGAGACTATTTTATGGCACGTCAGATAGACCTCAATGAAGCCATAAAACCTACCACCACCAACAACAACAACCAAAAGAGGTATCTGGCTCCTTGCCAACCAGTCAGAGAAATTTTTCTGATGACAAGGAAGAATCCCCTATCCTACAGAGCTTAACTTAACTTCTAACATCACTGGAGACTGAATAGCTCACTGTTTCACGTGCAACTTGACTTCTCAGTGGAAAGTAATTTGCCACGTCAGACTCTTCAGTGGCAACTGATAAGGAAGTCCAGCATCACATGACTGTGTGATTTCTTATACTAAGTATTAAAAGAAGAAAAGGAGGAGGAGGAAGAGAAGGAGGAGAAGAAGAAGGAGGAAGAGAAGGAGGAAAAAGAGGAGGAGGAGGAAGAGTTTGTAGCTCAATAAACTTGGACATTAGCCCAATATGTAGACCTGTTAGATAGGGCCAGAAAGGATAAGAGCCCAGTGTAGCCAAGAGAAGGTATGGTTTCAAATCACGAACTTACGGTACCATGTTGCCCAACAGCTACAGGATTCCCAGCGTGTGGGAGGGTTCTGATTTCTCTTCTGCAAATTTATCGTGAGTGTGTATTTTCTCAGCTCCAGAAGTGAGAACAAGAACATGCTGGCCTTGAGATTTTTAATCACATCCCTAGAGGGGGAATTTTTTGTCCTGGTCTTGTCAAATGAGATGGGGCGAAATGGCTTGTTGGGATGGATGCTGCCATGCCTATGACATTCCTCCTTACCATCTCCTAGCCAACAAACAAACAAAAAAAAGCAATGTTTCCTGGGTCCTAGACAGCTCATCTCCTTGTTCCAAAGTCCTTTTTCATATAAAATCTCCAACTATTCAAGTGTTCTAATCAGAGCAGCTGAGCCAGCAGGGCAGAGAGATCCACCGCCCTGCTCTTGGGCTGGCTCTTTGCCCTTTGGCACAGAAATGATTGATGAAACCTTACTACTTTAGAGGTCAGGTGACCTTTTGCAAACTATAAGAATAGTCCTCTGGAGGATGAGTGCAATGGAGGAGTGATTCCTTATCTGAAACACAGAGGTCCTGAGCACAAATCAACCTTCTGTAGTAAGTCAGCTGCGTGTCCCTGGAGAGATCACCTTTCCTCTCCAAGCATCTGATGGCGGGTGGTAAAACAGGGAGGTCTGGGTTAGAGTTTTAAGATCCTGTTACTGTGGCAGTAAGAATGGTTACAACTACAACTGGGCTGAGTTCACTCAGTGAAGCCATTGCTGTACAAGTGAGAAGTCCCAAGTTTGAGCCCCAGGACACATGTTAAAAAAAAAAAAAAAGCTGGGGAAGTAGAGACAGCTAGATCTCTGAAGCTTACTGGCCACCCATCCTAACTGAATCAGCAAGCTCCAAGTCGGTGAGAGAGCCTGTTTTTAAAGCTAGGAGTTGGAGAGACTCCTAGGGGTTAAGCCCAGGGGTTAACCCAATGTTTGTGCACTCCACTAGAATGAGAATTATAAGTATGGCGCCTTAAAAGAGATTTTCCTGGTTAGGATTGTTTGGTTTTTTGTTTGCTTGTTTGTTTAGTTGGTTGTTGTTTTTATTTTGTTTATTTGTTTTTGATGTTTTGGTTTGTTTGTTTGTTTATCAGCCTCTATCAGACTGGCCTGTGGGTAAGTCTGTTGGCAATTTTCTTGGTTAGTAGTGGGAGGAGCCAGATCACTATGTGCTGTGTCCCTAGGCTCATGGTACTGTGTTCTATAAGAAACTCATGTAAATGCCAGGCAGGTGTGGTGGCTCCCCTGTGATAAGCAATCAATGAGAAGAAAGCCACTAAGCAGCACTCCTCCATGGTCGCTGCTTCAGTTTCTGCCTCCAGGTTCCTGCCTTGAGTTCCTGCCCTGACTTGGATCAGTGATGGGGTTAGGTCTGAGAGTTGTAAGCTGATATAACCCTTTTCCCCTCCATTCACATTTATTTCTTCATGGAGATACCTGAACACATTGTTCTGTGTATGCAATCATTCTTAGAATCCACAGTACATACTGGCTTTTTAAAAGGTAAGATGAAGCCAGCCATGATGCCAGCACCTGGGAGGCAGATCTCTGAGTTCAAGGCCAGCCTTTCTAGAGTGAATTCCAGGACAGCCAAGGCTACACAGAGAAACCCTGTATTGAAGGAGAGGAAGAGATGGTTTCGTGTTAGAAGCCCTGAATGCTCTTCCAGAAATCTAGGTTCAAGTTTCAGAATCCAGATGGCTTCCCACAACCATATGTAACTCCAGTTCAAGAGGAATCCAACACCTCTTCTGACCTCTGTGGATGCGTGTGGTACCCTTCCATATATGTAAGCAAAGCACCCATGCACATATAATAATAAATTAAAAAGGAACAAGATGGAAAGGGGCTGGGAAGGTGGCTTCACCATGCAAGCATGAATGAGGCTTGGAGGTTGGTTCCTCAGGACTCATGTAAATGCCAGGCAGGTATTATAACTCCCCTGTAATTCCAGCTTTGGAACTGTGGATTCATAGCATATGGTTCATGAATTCATAGCAACCGTGATTATCTGTGCAACACTGGCACAATCTCAAGCCAGTCAACATTCTCTCAGAAATGGGAGAAGGACTCATGAAGTTCCCTGCTCCTGGCTGGGGAGTCATTGACAGTTGATAGCTACTGGAGTTGAGTTTTGTTTTGTTTTGTTTTTTTGTTTGTTTGTTTTTGTTTTTTAATTCAGAGATGGGGCTTTTCTTCGGAGGTGGAAACACTGGGAAGGTTTTCTATAGCCACATAACTTTCCTGAAAAGGTTTTAAGCTTTCTTTCTTACATTTGAAAAATTCAAGGCAAACGTAGGCCAAATCAACAGATAATTCAAAAAGAGTCTGTAGTAAAGATAATCAGTAGCTAAGGCCATTGACTCAGGCAGAGCAATTAACTGATCTAAAAGATGGTGGTGCAGGCCATTAATGTAAAGCATGCCAGCATTGCCTCCAATAGGAGGCTTCAAATATCTGAATTCTATAGCCGTGCCATCAGAAATTAGATGCAAGCCGCATCTAATTTTTTTAAACATTCCAGCAGACAGAAGCTTTCAAAAGTAAAGTAGAGCCGGTGAAACGAGTCAGTGGGTTAGGGGCCCTTACCACCAAGCCTGGTGAGTTCGATTCCCAGGATCCACAGGGTAGAATGAGAGGACTGATTCCCACAGTTGTTCTCTGACACACACACACACACACACACACGCACACACACACACACACACACACACACAATGGGAAATGTACATATGCCCCCACCAAAAGTAATCGATGTGATGTATAGATGCAAAACAAGAAAGCCCTACACAGTCTTCTCATAATGAAAAAGAAATAAAAATAAAAAGTGGGAAGAAATTGCTTTTAATAGTATATTTTACTTAGCACTGAAACATCTGAGATATTTCAGCAAATCAATATTAAAAGCAGCTAATGAGGCGTTTAACATTTTCTTTGTTTAACATTTCTTTTCAACACTTCAATCCGTATTTGTGTCTCAGTTTAGGTGCTCTATTTTTCTTGTAGTATCTGATCTAACTTGTAAAATCCATCATTGTAAAACCAGACCGACAAGCCCACATTCCACCGTTTTCTGCTGATGCCCTTTATGCGGGGCAGAGTCCCTTTATGTCCGGCTTTTCATTTGCTGTCTCTCAGCGAGAGGCTGCATTGCCCAGACCATTGTTCATGGGAGGATGTGATCATGGGTAAAATCATCAGTGCTAGGACTGTGGGCTCCCAAAAGGAAAAAAAAAAAAAAAAAAGTGAGCCAGTCACACACAGGCAGAGGCAGGGGGGTCACTGTGAGTTCGAGGCCAGCCTGGTCTACAAAGTGAGTCCAGGACAGCCAAGGCTACACAGAGAAACCCTGTCTCGAAAAACCAAACAAACAAACAACAAAAGACTGAATTGGCTCACGTTTTTGTTGTTTAGTTTTTGTGACAAAAAATATTTTATTCATAGATAGAATGTCATGTTGGGAAGATTTTAGAATTTGTTTTCATTTCCTTTTTATTTCTTTCTTTTTTCTTTTTTGCTCTAGTCAAATTAATTTCTTCGGAAGAGCTCTTTCTTTGATCTCAAACATTGTGTGTGTGTGTGTGTGTGTGTGTGTGTGTGTGTGTGTGTGTGTTGGTGGGGTGAGATGTAGAGCATGCTGACACTGCAAATCACTAAAAACAAAACGCAAGCAGCTGTAAGCTGACGCGTCCCCTTCGGGTCATCAGGTTTTCGCGAAGAGAGACATCGGCCTTTCTAAGAGGACACTCTGGCAATACTTTCCAGCTCAGTGGCTGGCCGTGACTTTCTGTAGAAGCCTGGGTAAAGGCGGCTGAGTCAAATCTTGTGAGACAGGAAGTCCGGTTCCAGGCTAGGCCTGCTTGAGCCTGTGTCCTGGGTCCCCGCTTTCTCATATCTTCCAGGCCTTGGGATGGCTGACCCTGGTGGAGCCTCGGATTCTCTTCTTCTTTTTGTTGGTGTTTTGACCTGGAGCTGGAAGAGACAGCTCTAGTTCTCTTTTCTTGAGGTCCCAATCCGGATCCTGCTCATCGAGCAATAGCCCTCTCTGGCGGCGGTCCCGGCATTCCGGTTCTGCCCTACAAAGACAGCAGCTTGTGAGGGTGGGAGGAGGAGCCCTGCTAACGTTGCTGCCCACCCCCACAACTCACCCCACCCCATCCCTACCCGACCCCATCCCCACCCCCATATCTCTTCCTGAGTGCCTCACAGCGAGCAGGACATTCATCTTTTAAATGAGAAGGAAGGAGGTAAAGTTCACAAGTGTCCGAATGCGCAGAAGGTCTCAGATACCAGGGAAAATACCTGAAGATGGAAGAAGCTAGCATGGCCCGGGTGTGATTAATTTCAAAGTCAAAAACAGCTGGAAGGAGGGGCTGCTCATTATTAAAGTGCCCGAACTCCCAGAACAATCATCATGTTATTATGGAGCTGTTCCTCTTAATTCTGTTTTCCTGATTATAAAAGCAACACACGTTCATTGTTTAAACATTTAAAATCTGCTCTGGTACATGTGCAATTCCAGCACCCAGGAGAATGAGACAGGAGGATGGCTACAGGGATCAAGGACAGCCACTGATGTAAAGTGAGTTTCAGAGCAGCCTGGCCTACAGAGCAGAAACCCCATGCCAGTCAATCAGTCATTATGCTGATATAAGGAAGAAAATGCCAGTTCCATACACTGTCTTCAAAAATGTAAAAACAGCCTAGGAGCTCACCCCTCACAATGTGAACTGTGAAGAAATCCACTGGTTCCCTTGTCTAGAGTTACAAAACCTCTAACTCCCCTATGGGGCACCCACCGCCACATCCTACATTGTAAGAGGTCATCAACTCCTTGGTGAGTTCAGCACTGGCTTCTTGCCCAACTGCCTATACTCCTCCACTCACCCCCTTTAGCCTTCGTGCCTCCTGACTGCGATCACCCAGTCTGTGATCACTCAGTGCTCCAGGCCCTTCATCCCTCCCCATTCCTTCCCTCCTCCTTCGGCCAGGTCTTCGCTATCTGTGCAGGAACGCACTAACTACACCTCCTTCCAGATGTCGTCCCTCCGAGTTCTCTAACATCCGAAGGGAAGTGACTTCCTGGTGGGAAATGGTAAGTAGCTGTGACTCACACGTGATGAGGCTGACATTTGTTTTTGCCTGCTCAGTGTGGCCTGCCTGCTTTCCCTGGCAGTGCCCACTCCATTTTATTTATGCTCTGGCCAAATGCAATGTACATCTGGTCATTAAGGAAGGGCTGGTGTGTGTGTGGGGGGGTCAATAAAAATCCGAGGGCAGGATTCTGAGGAATTCCAGCATTTGAAAGGCTCTCGAGGATAAATACTGAGAAACTGGGCATGGACGTACCTGCCTGTAATCCTAGCACTTGGGAAACCAAAGTAGGGTGATCATGAATTGAAGGCCAAGGTGCTGGGTTATATAGTAAGAGTCTCTCTCTCTCTCTCTCTCTCTCTCACACACACACACACACACACACACACACAAGAAAAAAGGAAGAAAGGAAAGGAGGGGGGAAGGGCTTGGGAAAGAAAGAAGGGAGGGAGAAGAATGAGAAAATGAAGGGAGGGAGAGAGGAGGAAGGGAAATATTTAAAGACTAACTCGCTGGGGGCTGGAGAGATGGCTCAGTGGTTAAGAGTACTGTCTGCTCATCCAGAGGTCCTGAGTTCAATTCCCAGCAACCACATGGTGGCTCATAACCATCTATACTGGGATCTGATGTCCTCTTCTGGCATGCAGGTGTACACGCAGATAGAGCACTCATACACATAAAATAAATAAATCTTAAAAAAGACTAACTGGCTTGGATGGAGAAGGGAGTGTTGTCAGCAACAGGAAGCTTATGATTATTCTTACAAGAAATGAGTCAGTACAAAGATGGGAAAGGCTTCCAAAAAGTGAGCAAGAGATGAGGAAGGAGAAACAATTCTGTAGATTAACTTCTCAGTAGCCTAGGGGAAGAGAGGTGTGTGTTTTGTGTGTGTGTGTTGTCTAGCTCTTTGCTCATTTGTTTAATAAGATCTATTTGAATATGTTCACAGAACATAAAAGAAGTGGGAAGGAAGAAGCAGAAACAATCAACTGTACAGGAGGAAGCCAAGACTAAGCAAAGAACTCAGGGTGGTTGTCTGGTAGAAGAAATGAAAATTCTAGCTGGAGGAGCACCATGACATAGAGAGGATGGGAAAGCAAGGGTGAACTCACGTGGAGGCTGACAAGTGTGTCCCTTCACGACTTTGGGTAGAAAGGAAGATTTAGCAAGCCCCTCAAGGGGCTTAGATAGAAGTAGACATCTCTAGCCCCCTGCCAGTATTCATCTGCTTATTTCTGGGATTTTCTTTATCAGTCAAGCCCAGAAGGCAGAGTAGAGATGTCAGGTACAAACAAACAAGCAAGCAAAGAAAAACTCAGGTCAAATGACTTACTGTGCTACCTATCCATCCATCCCAAAGTACATGCTGGCCTCCTGGCTCTTCTCAGCACTTCTCATCCTACCCCCTACCCTAAACTTCTCCAGCCCATGAGCTGCTGGACGCACCCTGATGTTTGAGGTTGCAGGTCTCCTTGTCTGTAAGCTCGGTGTTGAAGTACAGGACTCCCTCTTCCCAGCGGGGCCTCTTGCTATCTGCCTGACTTCAACTGGACAGTGTCTTTAGACACAAATGCCCCTAACCACTTTTGATATATGGCCTCTGACACAGCTACCTGTTAGTTCTTCCCTCCCAGGGTCTATATTATAATCAGGTACTGCGTTTCCATTCTTATGAAAGGAGAGTGCTGGGTAATACAAACCAAGCATCCTTGAAGTGCCTAGTTCCAACCAATTATGTATACCTATCCTTGGAGCAGGGGTATGTAGGCATTGTTCTCTGGAATTAAAGTTGAGCTAGCTTCCTGCTGGTTCCTGGGGTATGTGATCCCTGTATAGTACTGGCTGGCCACTCCAGGAACCTTCTCATCTCATGCCCCTCCTGACTTCATGGGCTGCAGGGAGACAACCCCAGGCAGGAGGAAAACCAACAATGAGCATCCTTTCCCACAGCTTCTCATTCTTATATAAGCCTGCCATTTCGGTCATGTACTCTCTTGGCTCGCTCTTGGCTCTTGGTCCTCTTGGCTGTCTCTCCTCTTTGCTCCCTCTCTTCTTTTCCTCTCATGGCCCAGTCCATTCTACTGGTCACATTCAATCTACGACTTTCTCTCCTTGCACTGCAGTATCCCAGGTGCCTCTGGTTGCACTCTCCCCCATATCTATAATAAACACCTTCTCCTTGACCATACCTTAGGGCAGTCATGACACTATTTCTAAAACAGGGTTTTGAGTGATTTCTATAGAGAGCCAATCTCAACCCAGGCAAGCGTTTTCTGGTTTAACCTTTTAGGGGATGGCTAAGATTGAACCCAGGGCCTCGCGTGCACTGAGCGAGTATTCCACTACCGTTAGCATATAGGCAGCCTGCTTCTGGGTTGCTGTGTGCCATCATGATATGTGGCAAATGCGGTTCAGCTGCTCACACACAGCTATAAGAGGACCAACCAGCCACTTTGACTCTCTCTTACCCCCCTCTCTTGCTGTCTGCCCCCTCTCTATAGGGGTACCCCTCCCCCACCGTGTCTGTCTGTCTCTCCTACCCTCTCTCCGTCTGCATCCAATAAATTTCTTTCATACCAGATATGTCATATGCATGACATATTTTAAAATATATGCCAACAACTACTAAGCCACATTCCATAATCTCGTTTTGGCTTTTGGTTTGGGAATTTGTTTGTTTTTAAGACAGGGTTTCTCTGTGTAGCCCTGGCTGTCCTGAAGCTCACTCTATAGACCAGTCTGGCCTCCAACTCAGTGATCAGCCTGCTTCTATCACCTGAATGCTGAGATTAAAGGTGTACTTGATAGAGGAGGAAGCCAAAACTAAGCAAAGAACAACCGGGGTGGCTTTTTTTTTTTTTTTCATCACTGCCCACCCAGTCTCATTTTACTTTTCTTTTGAGACAGTATCACTGATTTTCCCAGACTGGCCTTAAACTCACTTGTTAGCCTAGACAGGCCTGGGCTTCCATTTATAATCTCTCTGGCTCAGCCTCCTGAGCTGCTGGTATTGTGGACCTAAGCCACAACCTTGGCTGAGTTTACCATTCTGACAATAACTGTATTTGAAGTTCATACAAGACATCCCACTATTCTCTGTCCTCTACCATAAACTAGAATTGCTTCTAGGTTTTTCTGTCTGTCTCAACTTCCTTTCCAGGGAACAAAATTCAGACCAGGCTATTCAATGACCAAATTATAGATTCATAGATTATAGAGTCATAAATTTCAGTCCCATTCCTCTCAAGACTATAACTACAAAGAGCAGAATTTGTACTTAATTATACTGAACTGCTTGACTTAGTTTATAAAGGAATGAATGTTTGACAAGCTCTTGTCAGGCTAGCAGAGTTATAGGTGAATGCAGGTGGGTCTTAAAAATCAGATGTCTAATTCATCTGCCTCCCATTGTGTGTGTGCATGATTGTGTGTGGGCGCGTATGCATGCACACACATGTGTGTATGTGTGTGTGTGTGTGTGTGTGCGCGCGCGCTTAGGAGTACATGCGCACACATGTGCACGTGGATATGCCCGAGGTCAGTGTATTGTGCCTTTTACTTTATGTTCTGAGATGGGATCTCTCACTGAACTTGCAGTTTGCACTCTTGTCCAGGCTGGCTGCTCAGCAAGCCCCTGGGGTCCTTCTGTTTCTGAACTCTCAAACTGGAGCTACAGGTATGGCCACCTTGATGAGTGAATCTAAACTCAGGTCTTCTTGTCAGTGTCGAAAGGACCCCACTGACCGAGCCATCTCCACAGCCTCTGCTGGCCTCTACGTGTAAAGAAACTGAGGGCCAGGAAGCTGGTTTTAACTAGCTCAAGCACCTTTCAGAAACCTGAGGGGGGCTGGGAAGCTTAGGCCAATCCCATAGTCAAACTTAGTGTCCAGCTCTTATTAGAGATAATCTTTGAAGGGTTGAAGAGAAAGATCAGTGTACTTTTTACCCACAAGTTGTCATACTGATTAAAGAAAAAAAAACCTTAAAATCAATTTTAAAATTATTACACGGGCCAGAAAGACAGCTCAGATGTTAGGAGCACTATCTCTTCTTGGCAGAGGACCCTGAGTTCTGTTGTTAGCACCCACATCGCTGCTTATAGTGCTTGGTAACTCCACTTCCAGGGGGATCTGGCACCGTCTTCTGGCCCACACAGCACACACACATACACACAGGTAAAAGATACATATAAAATAAAAGTGAATAATCTGCAAAGAAAACATGATGGCAGTCAATTATCTGATCAAGTTCAGTGGTTCTCAACCTAGGGGTCATGTGTTGCATGTCAGATACCTTGCATGTCATATAGTTACATTATGATTCATAACAGTAGGAAAGTTAGAGTCGTGAAGTAGCAATGGAATAATTTTATGGATGGGGTTCACCACAACATGAGGACCTTGCATTAAAAGGTTGCAGCATTAGGAAGGTTGAAACCACTGGGTCAGATCTCTTTGTTTCCTTTTTATTAACCTGAGACTATTCAATTGACAAAGCTCTGATTCCAGGCTCCTTTCTGTAGCTGGGGAAACAAAGAACTTACTTTTCCAGGAAGTCCACACAGGCTTTCTGCCCGTAGATCTGTGCAATCCTCTTGGGTGTGTCTCCAAAGAAGTCAGCAGCGTCAACGGCAGCATACAGTTCATGGAGAGTTTTGAGTACGTTCAGATGGCCTGACTCAGCTGCAAAGTGAGCTGCGGTCCAGCCCACATCAGTCACCAAGCAGGGTCTGGCTCCATATTGTATCAGGAGATGTAGCACCTCCATTTGCCCTTAGATGTACCATGGAGACAGAAGACAAAGTTTAAAAAAAAATATCCTCAGTGGCCAGAGATCAGCACAGACATGAGCCCTCTAAGAACTTTCTGTATTCTTTTTAGAACAATCATACTTTCTGTCCACAATCCTAGGCCTTCTTCAAGTCCTTCCCATCTTTGCACTATTGAGCCTCACTGCTTGAACAACTGCGATACATTCTTTTTTTTAATTATTCATTTTGTAGAATTTGGGATTGAAGCTAGGGCCCCACATGTTCTATGGAAAATCTCTACCACTGAGTTATATTCCTTGGAATTCTCATTACTTTTTACTTTGAGAGAAGGTCTAGATAAGTTTTAAGACTGGTCTTGAAATTATTTTCTACCCCAACCAGTTCTTGAACTTTGTGCTCCATTTATAACAGTCAGACATTGGAAACAACCTAGACGTTCCTCAACAGAAGAATGGATGAAGAAACGTTTCCTACATTTTTTTTTTCTAGACAGGGTTTCTCTGTGTAGCCTTGGCTGTCCTAGACTTGCTTTGTAGACCAGGCTGGCTTCGAACTCACAGAGATCCACCTGCTTCTGCCTCTCCAAGTGCTGGAATTACAGATGTGCACCACTGTGCCTGGCTAAAATTTGGTACTTTTACAGGATGGAATATTACTCAGCTGCTAACCAAAATGACATCATGAAATTTGCAGGCAAATGAAAGAAACTAGAAAAAAATCATCCCAAGTGAGATATCCCACACTCACAAAGGCAAATATGGTACGCCTTCACTCATATGTGGATATTATCTGTGAAGCCAAAGACAAATAAACTCCAATGCAAAGTACTGCAGAGATTAGCTACAGAGTAATGCACCAAAGGCCACAGATAGATTCTTTAGGAAAAGGAAATAGAATATATAGCTATGGATGGATGGAGGAGGATTTTTTGTAAGAGGGAAGACAGAGAGAGCTAAAATTAAGAGGCATTTGAGAGGTAAAATAGAAATTTAATACAGTAGAAACGTGTGTGTGAAGACATTCTAAATGAAATCACCAAATAATGGGGGAGTCAGAGTCCCAACTTGCCATCTCTTTTCACCGAACAAAGCTTCCAGTATCAGGATTAGGTTAATTTAATTCGGTTATTGGATAAAGGGGTCCCATGTATATCCCCAAACAACACAGGTTGTTGTCAATACTATAGGTTGCTCTCCAGAAACTGACAGCAATGCCCCATTGCTGAAGACAACACCACAGCTCTCATTGAGGATGGAGATGTTGAGCATGCACCCTACACAGAGCCTACACCCCTATGTTCCAGCATCTTTGGTACAGGAATTTACTCTTCACACTCAAAATAGACACGTGAACACTGGGCCAGCCACAAACCCTTTATCTACAATGATGTCTTGTCTGCAAGGTGTGCTAAGGTATTGGTGGCACAAAGCCTGTGGGAGTAACCAACCAATAACTGATTTGCCTTAAGGCCCACTCCATGAGATGGGACCCATACCCACCACCACTTGGGTGACCAAGATCCGGAGACTATATAGCCTAGGGACCTAAGGTAAAACCAATTAATACTGTTCTAAAAGAATGTACTGGTAAGATGACTCCTGATGGTATTTTTCTATACTCCTCAACCAGTGCCTCGATCAGCCATCATCAGAGAATCTTCCTTCTGCAGCAGATGGGAACAAATACAGAGACCCTCAGTCAGACATTATTCAGAGCGTGAGGAAGACCTTGGAACACTCAAGCCTAACAGGGATGTCACCATCAAGTCTCTCCAAGAGCTCAGGGAACCCTGCAGAACAGGAGGCAGAAAAAAACTGTAGGAGCCATAGGGGATGGAGAACACCAAGAAAATAAGGAGGACCTGTAAATCAGGATAAACAAAACCGTATTAACTCACAGAGACTGAAGCAGCATGTACAAGCCTACACGGGTGTGCACCAGGTCTCCTGCATATATTATGGCTTTCAATGCAGTGTCTTTATGGGATTCCTGAGTGTGTCTCTGATTCTTGTGCCTTCTCTTGACTTTTTTCCTTCTGTTGGTTTGTCTGGTCCAACTTCAATGTGATAGTTTTTGTTTTATCTTATTATATTTTATGTTGAAAAATGAATTAATCAATCTATCTCTCTATCAATTAATGAAAACCTAGCCACGATGGTAAAGCTTAATAACTAAACTGTCACTTATGCCTGCTGGAACAGGAACTATCAGCTTTCTTCAACATTGGAAATATACAGTACTCCAGGACAGGCTTCATGTTCACAAGTAGTTAAGCAACTATAGAAGGGACTCCACAGTTTTGTTTGTTTGTTTTTGTGTCTGCTTTTATTTGGCTACTATTTAGTGGTTTTGTTGTTTTTTCTTCTTAGGTGTGGTTTTATTTGTTTTCTTGGTTGGGGAGGTTGTTACTGTATCGGTTTCTTCTTTCTTTTTTTGAGAAAGAACTTAAAGTTGGGTGGAATTGAGGGATAAAAAGAATATTCAGAATGTTTTTAAATTTAAAAATTGTTTTAAATAATAAAATATATTAAAATATTAAAAATAAGCAATTTAAAAATTTTAAATAAAAAATATTTTAAGACTTGGGTCAATAAAATAGCTCATCATGCAAGCCTGGTGACCCAAACCAGAACTTACATAAAGTAGAAGAAACCTAACTCCAAAAAATTGTCCTCTGACCTCCACATGTACGCCATCGTATGCACACATGCACACACACACCATACACACACACACACACACACACACACACACACACACACACACACACCAACCAAGGTAATTACAAGCAGTAATTTGAGCACACTTAGAATACAGCTGACCGTTTAGTAACACAGGTGTTCTAATCAGACAGGTGTAGGGTTCACATCACCAACAAATGACACCGTGGATAAGAAACAAAAGCCTGGCTGGGCAGTGGTAGCACATACCCTAAATTCCAGCACCTGTGAGACAGAGGAGACGTGGATTTCTGAGTTTCAGGCAATGGTCTACAGAGTGAGTGGTAGGACAGCCACAGCTACACAGAGAGACCCAGTCTCAAGAAGAAGAAGAAAAAAAAGAAGAAGGAGGAGGAGGAGGAGAAGGAGGAGAAGGAGGAAGAAGAAGAGCAGTAGCAGCAACAACAAGACAAGGATAAGAAGAAAAGAAAATGAAACAAATGCCTTATGCTCAATGCCCTCATTCCTCATTTGTAAATTAGAGTTGTTACCATTGCTCTCATGGAATCCTTGAGGAGGAATGAATGAATTCCCAGACATGAAGCTCCCAGCACAATGTCCCTAAATAGTTACCTGGTGTAGCAACCAACATTTCCTACTTAGATTTCTGCAAAAATATCCCAACTAAGTCTTGTGCAGCTGGCCTTACTTTTTGCCTCGTCTTTCTCCACAGGAGAGAGAAAACAAATAATTGAAAAGCAATGTTGACTAGAGTACTGCTTTACGTGGCATTATTTGGCGTTGTTTGTTACTAAAGACTTTTTAAATTTCCATATGCGTTTGTGTGTACAGATGTTCATGCACATGAATAATGTACACGTGTGCAGGTGCCCCAGAGGCAGGAGGTGTTGGTCCTCCTGGAGCTGGAGTTATAGGCGGATGTGGGTGCTGGGAATCAAACTCTGGTCCTTTCACAGTTGAGCCAACTCCCAATATTCAAAGGCTTTGAGTTTGTCACTAGCTACCTTATAACCTAGATATGCTGGGAGGGGTCAGGTGTTCATCTTCATATACTCCATTCATGAAGTCATGATGACAGAGGCCTGAGAGCATATTTTTAGTGTTATCACTGTACACATTATAGAAGTTCCTATCAAGAACTCCAGTGTAGCTTTATTGCCTCCATTATACAGAAGAATTCAAAGATGCTCCAACATTAAACACTGTGATCTGGTGCTATCATTAGTAAGGGTTCATGGCAGTGGTGAAATGTTCCATCCGGCACTAAGGATGGTCTAAGAGAGGTCCATTCCTCTTTTGGACACAGACTGATGCCCTCATGAAGGCCAGTCTGCAGAGGGATTGTCTACTCACCTCTGATGGCCGCCCAGTGAAGTGGGGTCCTGTCATTCCAGTCCACATCCTTGTAGTTTGGATCACAGAGACCTTTCTTCAAAATTTTCTTCACTGAATTGCAGTCCCCTGCAGCCACAGCCTGGTGGAGCTTTGTCATGTCTGACATCTTTGACAATTCCATGACAGAATCTGCTGGAGATATGGGTTGCTGAGGAAATTCCATATAAGCCCTCATCCCTAGTGAGTACTCCCTAGCTCTGCATCAATGACTTGCTTTCCTGTCTTGTGGATTTGCATCTGGAGTTGCTGTGTATTTGTGTGTGTGTGTGTGTGTGTGTGTGTGTGTGTGTGTGTGTGTGTGTTCTGCTGCTTGGGTCCCTAGCCCTCAGCAACTGTGGATAGCATCCACCATTCTCCAATCCCAAAACTACTGATGGTCCTTCCTGTACCCAGAATTATCTCCAAAGTCACAGACTGACACTTACAGTGCGCCCTCCACTCATCTTTCCATGTGACTTTTCACTCCTACATCAGAGTTCTCTTAGTTTTATGTTACCTTCAGCTGGTTGTGGAATTTCGCATCTTGTCTCTGTAATGTGTAGCAGCAGCCAGAGATGCTGTGGGGACATCAGCACTTGCATGAACAGTCTGGATTGAAAGACTCCATCCAGTGTTCCATGGAAATTAAGAGATATTGCCACACCACATGGGGAGCACAGCTTGCCAACACGCAAATAAAACAGCTAAAAGTTGTTATTAACGGTCTGCTATGAAGGGTCTGGGAAGGTGGCATGTCGGTAAAGTGCTGTGTTTCGGGAGCATAAGAAACTAAGTTTAGATCCCCAGAACTCACATAAAAAGCTGGGCCTGGTGGCTCACGATTGGAATCCCAGTGTGGGAAGTAGAAATTAGTGGATCCCCGAGGCTCCCTAGCCAGCTGGTCTGACCCATTTGGCGATGTTCTAGGCCAATGAGAGATCCTGTCTCAAACCAAAGATGGCAGGCTCTGAGAACAAGCCAATACACAAAGTTGTACTCCGAACTCTACACACACATCTACACACACACACACACACACACACACACACAGAGAGAGAGAGAGAGAGAGAGAGAGAGAGAGACATGTACGCACACTCCCAATACATATACACACATATACAAAATACTATGCCATGAACAACCAGCTCCCATGCTGCAATTAATCTGCAGACCCTTAGGGGTCCTTGATTTTTGGTTTGGGGGATTTATGAAGCAAAAAATCTTTTTGTTATAGTATTAAAATGTCACTGGCCTTGTTCATTTTGTTTTTATTTACTCTGTGGTTTAAAGGCAATGAGAGAGAAAACTGCTGTTGCCTGGGCACAAAAAAGCAATGCTCTCAGCAAACTGCTGTTCACCACACTTGCAGGAGATCACAGCCTTGTGGGCACATGCAATGTTACAGTAAGGAATACTCTCAGTAAATCTCTCGTCCTTGAGAGATTTAGTAAATGCGGCTTAGTAAATGTGATTGTAGCAATGAAAAGCGCCAACATAAGGAAATCTTCCTCACCCATGGACCAGTCTCTCCATATGCCAAGCACAGGCGGTTGTAAGGACAGAGCACAGGTAAGGAGAACCTTTGGAGGTGGGTAGTGGGTACATAATGAAGGATAGCAGGTACTCGGACATTTCAGATGCTACATGGAGGCAAATCTTTGAGCTATCACCACTTGGGCAGTTCTGATGGAGACCCAGAAAAGTCACGATGATTCAAAAAGGGTATAAAGACTTCTCCATTTCCAAATTTCCAAATGTCTGCAACCACCATTTTTCATGTACTTTTATCAGTATATGACAGTGAAAGCCAAAGATACTATAATGGTCCCGATGACTCCAGTTAAAAGGATTCTGGGAACAGAGAGCAAGTCAACATCATTCTTCACATCCTTTGTTGTTGTGGGAACCATAATTACTTTTCATTAAAGTATTTCTTATTGTTCTGTTAGTTTTATTCAATTCTATGAGAAATTTAATTCATAAAACTTCCTTAATACATTTTTAAAATAATCATCAATATCTTGTTAGGCAATTGATACTTGTCTTTTTTTATTAATTTTTTATACTAATTACAGTTCATTTGTTTTGTATCCCAGCTGTAGCCCTCTCCCTCAATCCCTCCCAATTTCACCCTTAATACATTTTAAAATATATGATTTCTGTCAATGTGACACAAAAGGAAAGAACCTTAATTGAGGAAGTGCCTCCATCAAATTGCCCAGTGGGCATGTCTGTGGGGGCATTTTATTAACTGATGATTGACGTGAGAGGGCTGAGGTCCTGGGGTGTATAAGCAAGCAAGCCAATAAGCTTTGCTCTATGACCTCTGCTTCAGTTCCTATTTCCAGGTTCCTGTTTTGTGGTCCTGCCCTGGTTTTCCTCAGTGATAAAACTATCTAACTTATTAAATGTATGCTAAAACCTCCACCCAAAAGTTGTTTTGGGTCAGTGTTTTATTTATCACAAAAGAAACCTAAATAGGACACTTATAGAACTAATTTATTACAATTCCCACTGACGAATTTATCTACACTTTAGAATATTCTGTTTGAGGGCTGACACAGTGGATCAGTGATTAAGAGCACACATGCTATTCATGCAGGGGACCAGCATTCTACTCCCAGAACCTAAATCAGGCCGATCACACCCACCTACAATTTCAGTTCCAGGAGATCAAACATCTCTAACATTGGGCTATAAACCCCACAGGCCCCTCCAAAGGAAGTAAAAGAGATCTTTAAAAATGGAGGCTACTCCTTTAACTTTGCATGGTGGTAATATCAATGAATATAATCCAAATTAACAAAAGCTCTTTGGGTGATGTTTAAGAGTGTAAAAGATCACTGGAAAAGATCATCCTGAGTGAGGTAACCCAGAAGCAGAAAGACAAATGGTATATACTCACTTATAAATCGATCTTAACCATATAATATAGGATAAGCATACTAAAATCTATAGTCCTAAAGAAACTAAGCAATAAGGAGGAGCCTAGGGAAGATGCTTAACCCTCATTCAGAAGGGCAAATAGGATAGATATCAGAAGTAGGAGAAGATAGGGAACAGGACAGGAGTCTACCGTAGAGGGCCCCTGAAAGACTCTACCCAGCAGGTATCGAAGCAGATGCTGAGACTCATAGCCAAACTTTGGGCAGAGTTCAGGAAATCTTATGGAAGAACGGGGAAATAGAAAGACCTGGAGGGGACAGGAATTCCACAAGGAGACCAACAGAGCCAAAAAAAAATCTGGGCCCAGGTTCCCTGCAGAGACTGATGAATCAACCAAGAACCATGCATGGAGAGGACCTAGACCCTCTACTCAGATGTAGCCCATGGGCATCTCAGGCTTCATGTGAGTTCCCTATTAAGGGGAGCAGAGACAATTACTGATATAGCTCAGTTGCCTGCTCTTTGATCACCTCCCCTTGGTGAGGTAGCCTTACTGGGCCACAGAGAAAGAGGATCTAGATAGTCCTAATGAGACCTACCTAATAGACTAGGGTCTGATAGTAGGGGAGGAGGACTTCCCCTATCAGTAGACTAGGGGAGGGATGTAGGGGAAGAGGGATGGAGGGTGGCACTGGGAGAAGATGAGGGAGGAGACTACAGCTGAGATACAAAGTGAATAAATTGTAATGAATAAATAAATAAATAACAACAACAATAATAAAGAAAAATGTATAAAAGATCCTGAGATCTAAAATCTTGAGAAATGCTGATGCAAACACATGAGGAGTCAAGGCAGAAAACTGGAGTGGTCCCGTTGCTTGAATGACATTCCCTGGGGATGTCCTATATCTCAAGTCAAGTTAAGAACTAGAGAAGAGGCTCCTGTCCTGTTTCTTGTTTTCTCCTATGTCCAATGTCCATCCCATTTGTCTTTCTAAGTAAGGATTGATCATCTTACCCTGGGTCCTCCTTCTTGTTTTGCTTCTTTAGGTGTACAGATTTTAGTATGTTTATCTTATGTTTTAGTTCTAGTATCCACTTATAAGTGAGTATATACCGTGTATGTCTTTCTGCTTCTGGGATACCTCACTCAGGAAACCTTGGGAAGAGTGCAGGGAATCAATGAAAGAAGGGGGAGTTAGTAAGACCTGGAGAGGACAGAAGCTCCACAAGGACCAAGTATATCTGGGCACAGGGGCCTCTTATGAGATTGATTCTCCAACCAAGGACCATACATGGATATAACCTAGAACCCCTGCTTAGACATAGCTCATGGCAGCTCAGTATCCAAGTGGGTTCTCCAGTAAGGGGAATAAAGACTGTCTCTGACATGAACTCAGTGGCTGGCTCTTTGACCTCCCCCTACCCCCAAGGGAGGAACACCCTTACCAGGCCACAGATAAGGACATTGCAGCCAGTCCTGATGAGACCTGATAAGCTAGAATCAGATGGAAGGGGAGGAGGACTTCCCCTATCAGTGGACTTAGAAAAGGGCAGGGAGGAGGGATTGAGAGGGAATGAGGGAGGGGGCTACAGCTGGGATACAAAGTAAATAAACTGTAATTAATATAAAAAATAAAAATTTAATAAAAAAAAAAAGAACTAGAGAAGAAGTCAGAACCTACCTTAAAAACTGTCATCACCAGCAGCTCTAGAGGTTCATTTGAATTGCAAATTATTGGGCTCAATATCCACCTGAAACTCTGGGACAGGGACCAAGGATTCTTGTGTGATATCTGCTGTATAATCAAATATGAGAATAACTCTAGAGCCAGAGAATCGGAGAAGTAAACATAGTTAAAATGCAGTGCCCAGGGGCCAGGAAAAAGGAGCCAGTCACTAAGACTGGGAAGTAAACAGGGCTGTCTTTTCAGAGTCCTAGGTTTAACCCTGTGGAGATGGCAGCCGACTGTGAAGGAGAGACTGGGAGGCACGCACTGCAAAGTGTGAGAGCTTCCAATTCAGAAGTGTAGACCAGGGCTTGACAACCTTTTCTGCAAAGCACTTTTACTCCAAGGGCCAAAGTGAAGGCAATTTCATAGGAACTTAGAAGCAACTTATATAACAAGAGGGGGAATTTTGCTTCCATCTTCTTCTCCATTTGCCCGGAGTGGATGTGCTATCTACTTGGTATCCAGCACCCACAGGCTGTAAGCGTTCTTAAGACAAAGATCTGAGCAGGAAGCAACTGGCAGGTGAGATGGTCAGGTTTCTCTCAGCCCTGAGCTGCAAAGTCATCTGGAGACCTCGCTCCTCCCAGAGGTTGGCAGTCTCACCCTAACTGCAGGCCAGTGTTCAGCTACTCACAGTTTGTGGCTTGCTTTGGACCACTGATGGGTTACTAAGAACTTAATGTTCAAATCCAGCTACTGCCCCTCAGGCCACAATACGTGCAGAAACTTCTTCTCTTTCATACACGCCTCCAGGCTCCCTAACTGAGACACTATCTGCAATTCCTTAGCTAACAGATTTTCAGATATCTGGATCACTCATCTGGGGCAGTGAGTTTACTTCAAAGGCAGACACATATCCTGTTCCTCAGGCCTTCTCTGCCTCATGCCTATGAATCAGAGAGAGCCTGGTTACCGGATTTGAAACCTCCTCCATCCTGAGAAAAGGCCCTTACTTCTGCCATGTGGCTCTGATTCTTCTTCAGAGACCACGCCACGCTGTCTGTCTCTTACTGTGACTTGATCTCAGAATCCTGCCACGCTGTTTCCTACCTAGCAATAATAATTCTCTTCGAATAAAATTAATCCTCAACAATTTATCTCAGCATCCTTCTTAAGCCCCCATCCGAGACCTTTAAGGCTGTCCCAAAGTTTAGTGACAGGGCCAAAGGGTAGCATCCCTCTCCCCCCCGCCAAAATGGTTACTCTACTGACTTGGTCCAAAAATAGAGTCTAAGCTCAGCCCATGATGGCCTATAGAAGAATTTCTGGTGGTTAAATAAAAGCCATTATTTCTAAGGAACTTGGGAAATTGGTTTCCGTCTGCCGAAAGGATGGGAAGCCTTGCCTCTGTCAGTAGGGGCATATGGCTCTCCGTTGACATATTTGTGTAGTTGAATATCAAAACCTGTGCTGGCCTTCAGGCTCCTTCAGCCCCTAATTGTACACACTTTTTATATATTTTAAAGCCCAGCTAGAGCTAGCCTTCTTCCTTTCTCATGTCTCCGCAAAGCTGTTCCAGACGTAGACACAGACTCACCTGTTCACGCATGCGCACGTGCATGCTCTCTAATATCAAGCTTTCTCAACCAAACCATTGCTAGTCTCTCTTGCTATTGTGTACCATTCCTGCTTCCTCAGTCCTGGCCATACCTAGTCTGCTTCCTTTCCTCCGTTCGTGCTCTGGACTGATGACTCCCCCCCTCCCCCCCCCCGCCCCCGTAGAAACCTTCTCCCTAATCATGGAGTGGCCATCTTTTTGGTTTCTCTACTGCTCCCCTCCCACACATTTCGGATTCACCACTGTGATGAACAGGGCCTGAAGAAGAGACCAAGCATAGCAGGGCTCGGGCAAGCAGGTGATTGGGGTGTGAAGATCAACAGGGGTGTAGGGAGACATGACGGCTTGCCCTCAAAGCCTTCAAAACAGGTGTGGGACAAGGCCTAGAGAGCACAAATTGCCAAATTCTGTCTGCACAGCTCACTTAAGGAAATTGTTTAATTGTGATTCTGCCTCATCAGGTATTAGATAAGGCCCAGGATTCTGCTCTTGGAGTGAATTCCCACAACAAACTTAGTCACTTACCAGAGGGGATAGCAGCTGCTCTCCGAATGGGAAGCAGGGAAACAGAGGGCAGGGAGGGACACTGGAGGCCCGCAGGACACAGAAGGGAGGGGATGGTGACTCTCACTGGAGAGGGCACATAGTATCACCAGTAGAATGTTGGAAACAAAAATGCTTGCCTAGCCGGTCAGAATCTCTGGTCAGGCAAGACGAGGGTTAAGTGTGTGGCAAGAAGCAGATGTTCCTCAGATGCTCTGTTAAGTAGCAGAAGATGGTATGCACAGCATTTAACCTCTTTTGGCATGTGTGTGATTGTGTGCTTGCACATGTGTAGATGCATATGTGATGCGGTAAGGGTGGGCACGCGTGTGTAGGACAGTACATGCAGAGGCCACAGGCTGAGTGTTTTCCCTTCTTCCACCTTATATACTGAGGCAGCGTGTCTCACTTGAAAGTCACAGCTCGCTAATTCAGCTGGGCCAGTTAGCCAGCTGACCCTGGGGATCTCCTGTCTCTGCCTCCCGGGAGCTGGGATTGCAAATGGGCCATGAGAGAGTCCACTCAAGATGACAGCTGCCGCCAGCACCCAGTGGAGCCTGAGAGACCCACGAAGGCTTCTAGGGAGATGCAGCGACAGAGGAGGAGCCTACAGAACATGAAGTATCTCCAGAGCAACTTTAAAAGGACACATCTTATAGGAAGATGCTTTTTTAAAGTGCTTTTATGAAGCTGGGCTGAGGTGGCACATGCTTTTGATCACAGCACTCAGGAGACAGAGGAAGGCAGATCTCTGAACTCTGGGCCAGCCTGGTCTACAAATTGAGTTCCAAGACAGCCAGGGCTACACAGAGAAACCTTGTCTCAAAACAAACAAACAAACAAACGCTTTAATAAATTGAAAAAAAAAGGTGGTGGACAGGTATGCAGGCATGGCCACTGAGGACAAAGGAGCATGTCGTTGCCCAGTGACATGGGCTAGTCCTCAGCTCACTGGAAGGCTTGGGCCACCACCAGGCCTGACCTGCCTCCTGCTCGGTGGACCCAGTGGGCCAGCAGATCCCACTTTCAAGCATGCTGTCAAGCTGCAATACCGCCCCGACTCTGAGCAACAACAGGATGTCTGAGATACATCTCAGTGATAATCCAGTATTTATGGCGCTTCAGAAACCTTGAACCAGACCAATCATTCTTACAATGTAAAGCTGTTTGTGTGGGGGGAGGGGGGCAATACACACATACACACACACACACACACACACACACACACACACACACTGTGTGACACACAGCAGTTTGCAATGTCACATTCATAAATGAACGTGAGATAGAGAGATGGCCGAACAGAGCTGCGAGCCTATGGCAGTGGGCGGAGGCAAAGCTGGAGACTGTTGGCACCATCTGCAGGTGAGAGCACAGCTACAGCGGACAATGTGAGGGTGTGAGGGCAGTGGACACCAACCTGGAGCTTGCGTGGTCCCTGTCCCCCAGAGTGCTGCCCAACCACATGACCACCCTGACTGTGACCGACAACAGGGTATGAAGATCCGAGATGAAAAACTGTTCATTTTCGGGATAAAGCCTCCTCCAAAGCCCTCCACAGTCTCTGAAGTCTACAGTCTGTACGCCAGAGGCCATGTTGATGCCTGTGATCCGTGCCACAGCGGGAGGCCCTGCTGAAGTCTGTGGTCTGTACTGCCCCTGGAAACCATGTGGAAACCCATGATCCATGCTGCTGTCAGCTGTTATGGGCAGGGAGGCTTCTTTTGCTGATGACTGCAGACTCATGATCGAGAGTGAGAGACATTGAGAGCTTCTGTGGCAAACTCTCTCCTACCTCTCCCCACACCGAGGGAAAAGAAACAGTCCAGGCAGGAAGCTGGTAAGGAGAGTCCTTGAGAATTTTGATGGAGGTGTGACTTTGAGGAGTGAATTTTCTTGGTTGACGGCTTCTGGTAGGGTGGAGGTGTGGGGTAGGGAAGTTGGGAGGTTTTGGGGGTGGGGGTGGGAAGAGAATCAGTTATCTTTAGGGGGCTGGCCACTGGGAGTTGGACTATGCTCAGGTGAGTTTATGAGCAACACAAATTGGAGTCTGTGTGTGTGTGTGTGTGTGTGTGTGTGTGTGTGTGCGTTCTTCTTTTGTAGGGGTGGGAAGGTGAGCCTGAGAGGAATGTCAAGCAAGTATGACAAGGGTACACTGTATAAAATTCCCAAATAGTTAGTAAAAATATTATGTTGGGGAAAATAAGTGAATACCAACAAAGGGGGTTGTGTGTGACATTAGACCCACACCTAGCATTTACATGGGTGTCAGGGTTAGAATTTTGGTCCTTACCTTTAAGCATCAGCCACTTTTCCTGTACCTACTGAGCCATCCCCTCAGGCCCTGCATCTTGGCTTTTAAATTTGATGTATCAAGGGCCAGGGGAGATGGCTCAGTTGGTGAAGTGCAGGCTGTGCAAACATGCCTGAGTTCAGATCCCCAGAACCTAGGTCAAACAAACAAACAAACAAACACAAAAACAAAACAAACAAAACAAAACAAAATAAAACAACAAAAAAAAAAAACAGGCTGCTACAGCTGGCACCTGCAATCTCAAAGCCAGGAGACTAGAGAGTCAGGAAGAGCTCTAGAGATCACTGGGCAGCCAACTTAGCAGGGCAGATCACTGGAGGTTCAGTGAGAGACCCTGTCTCAACAGAATTAGGTGGAGAAGAAGTGAGGAAGACACCCAGAATTGACCTATGCTGCCACACATATGTGCGCGCGCACACACACACACACACACACACACACACACACACACACACACGAACATACACAAAACTGGGTGAAGAGTCATAGATGTTTCATGGATGAATCATAAAACATGCTATTTGAACAAAGTCAGACATAGAAGGCCAGACATCACATGCTCCCATGTGTGTGGCAAATTTGTGGAGTCAGATGCAGGTTGACGGTTGCCTAGGCTTGGGTCGGGGTAGGGGTGAGCAGTGAGTGCCAGTAAAGCACAGGATTTCGTTTGTGAGTGGTGAACTCTTTTAAAATCACACTGTGGTGACAGCGGTCTCCCAACTCTAAAATCCCAACACCCACTACATTGGACACATATCCAGTTCATGGTATGTGAACTGACCTGAATTCACTGCTCTGTCAATAACTGCTGACATTTAGCAAACTTCCCTTTGCGTGAATCTTGTGAATGTGATCAAGTATATCTGAACTCTAATCTTTTAGGCAGATATAGCTCGGTACCTGAATTAAGTATGAGTTATCTAATTTTTAAAAGATGGACTAAGATTGACACACTTACTGTCTTTCCAAGGAACTCTGTGCGGCAGGCCACCTTAGTTGGCTGGAGTGTTAGTATATTTGCACCATGGAAACACACTAACACCCCTCCCTCCTCCTCCCCTCCTCTTTCCCTCCTTCTCCTCTCCTCCTCCTCTCCTTTTCAGCTTTCTAGTCTCTTGGAGTCTGGTGGGGCAGGCTTGCCTCTCTGCTTCCCATTCAAACTCATCAGGAATTCCATCTTCTACTATAGTTTATCTGTGATGGTCGGTCCTCAACAGGTTCTTAAGAGCATTTGATAAACAAACTGAAATGGAAAAGCAGCCGGTTACTGGCAGCCCACAAGATACTATGAAACAAGCCAGCTGTTTAGTTAGCCTTCTGGGACTCGAGGAATGTCTATCCACCATGGCGTACTGGGGACAGCTGAGTCCCTCATATTCAGAATCAACTGTGAGATCCTGAGCAAATTCCTTAGCTTTGATTTTTTTTTTTTCTCACCCCTCAAAGGGAACATTTTTAAGCTTTCCCTTCTGGCTATTAAATAGAATTAGCAGAAGTACTTTATAAAACATTTCATGCAAGAAAGACATTTAAACAATAGCATCTCCCGGATGCTTTCTCCTGGCCTGCTTTCCCCTCCGGCCCTACATCTACCATGTCTACCATACCGCTTATGTCAAACTCCTCTGACCCTCCCTCTCCCCCTTCTTCCCTGTCTTTCTATTTTTCATTCCTTCCATTAGTCTTCTTATTTTGTATATGTTGGTGGCTGTACTGGGCCAATGTTCTGGTTAGCTTGAATTGTCAACTTGACACAGCCCAGAGTCATCTGAGAGAAGCCTCAACAGAGGAACAGAGGAACAGCCTACATAACTGTGAGGGGTTACCTTATTATAAACGGATACAGGAAGTTCCTTCTGGCCCAGTGTGGAGAGGGTGGTCCACACTAGGAGGGACACAACTTGACTCCTGCAAGAAATAAAGAGGGGAGGATGTGGCTGGCTATGGAGTGTGAACCATACTCCATAGAATAGAGATGGAGTTCAGGCAAGTGCTAGACTGCTCAGTGTGTTCTGGGACCTGGTCGGAATTGTGGATCCCCCCCTCCCCGCCCCAAAACAACAGTAGCCAGTGAAATGTTTTAAGCACTGGCTGAGAAGAGATGGTACAACTTATATTTCCTTCAAAAATTACTTTGTCTGCTAATTGGAGAAGGGAAGGAAAGGAGATGAGACTGTAAGCATGAACACTCGAGAGATCCACTGCAGGAGTCTAGATAAGAAAGGATGGTGAGTTAGTGAATGAAGGCCCCAGGGGTCATGGAGAAATGGCAAAGTACTGAGACTAGAGTGTCAGGAGAGAACATTGACATATGTGGATGGCTTAGGCATGGGTAGTGAAGAGGAAGGGAGAAGCAAGGCCGACTCCTCTTGTCTAGGTGATGACATCGGTGGTATGGGAATGAGGACAGTGGTGCCAGCTTTGGATGATGGGAGAGCACAGATGCACAGATTAAGTGTTAGGTTTTGGTCTAAGTCTGAGTAGCCTGGGCAGCATTAAATATAAAGGAGCAGTTCAAAGTCCTGTGGCTCTGGGGTTCAAGTTACATGTTCAATATCACAAACATGTGGGTGACATTTAATGATCTACAGAATATAGACGATAAACTAAGTCTGATCATGGTATAGGGGAAGCTCTAGCCCCAGCCTGAGGCCCTCCCTTCTCAAAAGTCTGGTAGCAGAGAGAGAATTATCGAGGTAGACAGGTCACTGCCAGGGAGGCTATAACTTCATAAAAACCAAGCGAGAAAAGCATAGTTGGAATGACTAAGATCAGCTATGTCAAAGAGAGCAGTGTTTAATGGGTGTCTATTTACAGGCTAGAAACAGTGAGCCTGAGAAGCTGATTTCTGACCTCTGGTGTTCATGCTGCATTGCTCTTCCCAAACTCCACATGGTTGCAGTTCAGCTTGACTACTCTGAACAAATACAGAGAGCTATTCTGCACTGGGTGACACAAGGGTTCGAGGGCAGAGGTCCTCCTGATAAGGTACAGAGGAACTATGATAAGAGAGGCATTGGAAGGAACATCGTGGGAGCTTCTGTCAGCAAACCGCAGGCTTCTGGGGCCCTGTCAACTACTACATGTTTCTTTCCCCTAATAAAAACATTTCTAATATCAAACCGCTTCCCAGTCATGAGCTGGCCAGACAGCAAGGTCAACCAAAGAGAGAGGCCCCATGATTTCTTTTAACAGTGAGCGTCTCCCAGTACATTAAAAAAAGAGTTGACCCCAAAAGTTTGAACTTAATATATGTACTGTAAAAAATGACTAAATTTAAAGAATTAACTTAAGCAACACACAAGGATGAATACAAATAAAATAAAAACAATCATAATAATATAAAATATTTATTTATTACAAGCAGCAGAATATGCTAACAGGACATGCAGATTGTGTGAGAGGTGTTACCCAGTGTTTTCAGTGTGATCTTGTGATCAGCTATATGAATGCCAAATATCTATACCCTGGAGCTAGGGATATGACTCAGCTTCTAAGAGTACTTGCCTAGCATATACATAGTTCTGAATTTGATTTATAGCATGGCATAAAACCTGAAATGGCAGTGGATTTCTGTGGTCCCAGCAGTTGAGAGATAGAGGCAGGAGGGTAAGATATTTAGAGTCATCCTTGGTTCAAGGTGGGATACAGAAAATCTTGTCTAAAAGAAGGAAGGAAGGAAGCAAGCAAGGAAGGAAAGAAGAAAGGAAGGAAAGAAGGAAGAATGAAAACAAAGAAGGAAAGAAGAAAGAAAGCAAGGAAGATAAAAAGGAAGAAAGCAAGGAAAGAAAGAAAGAAGGAAGAGGGCTGGAGAGCTGGCTCAGAGGTTAAGAGCATTGGCTGTTATTTTAAAGGACCTGAGTTCAATTCCCAGCAATCAGATGGTGGCTCATAACTGTCTGTAATGAAATCTGGTGCCCTCTTATGGCCTGCCTGCATACATGCTGGCAGAATGTTGTATAAATAATGAGTAAATAAATCTTTTTTAAAAAGGACTCATGTATTTTAAAAAAGAAGAAGGAAAGAAGAAAGCAAGGAAGGAAGAAAGGAAGGAAGAACGCAATCGAGGAAGCAAGAAAAAAAAAAGAATGTAGTTTGTCCTTTGATTATTCTGTGATAGTCCACTGGGTCATATTTATGGGTCAGTCATTGGTCAGAGGCTGCTTTGCCTCAAGAATTTCTGGCTGAGGTGATTTTTTTTTTTTTTCATGAAATTCTCTCCCCGCATAGAATCAAAGTCAAAACCAAGAAAGGAATTTAGGGACTGGAGAGATGATTTAGTGTTTAAGTGTACTTTCTGTTCTTGAAGACCCAAGTTCAATTCCCAGCACCCACATCAGGCCGCACACAACCTCTTCTAACCCCAGCTCCAGAGGCTCTAACGCCTCTTCTGCCTGCCACAGACACCTACACTGACGTGCACATAACTGTTCCCACACATGCACGTAACCATGCTCACACACGTACACACACGCACACACACGCACACACACGCACACACACGCACACACATGCACATACCCACACTCCTGTACATAAGCATACGGACATATGCCTCCGCACCCAAGCACACACCCACTCCTACACGTATGCACACAGCCAACCGCAGACGGATATATGCACCATACACATTAAAGCTAAGATATTTTTGGAAAGAAAGTAGTCTAGACATCACGAGTCAGAAGCTTGCTTTATACACGAAAATATCGGGAGCCTTTAGCACCTAACATTTGCTGTGCTCTGCTACATCGCCACCTTCTCCACCTCAGTGAGGCCTCCACAGGCTGACAGAGGAAGCTGTGGGGTACATGTGCTGGGCAGCCGTGTCACCCTTGGTACACTTGCTGTCTTCCTTGCTTGGAACTATATGGTCTGATTCTTTTGTATCTCACTCTAACTCCCAGGAAAATGATCACCATTGCAAGGCCACACAGGCATTGTCACACAGGTACAGGCTACTTAAACATGCAGCCAGAGCACTGTGTGAGGCAGGTACCACGACTATCCAGCCCTGTTTTGCAGACAGGTACACTGAGGCACAGGATAAGAGGTCACACGCTGTTCTTTCAGAAAGCTCTGATGTGGTTATGGTATCTGTGTTCTTCTCTGCAGTCTTGCATTGCCTCCTGAGGGGTTCAATCAATGTCCCATGAGAAAGTTACTGGACTTGAGACTCCCTGTCTAGGAAATGATGTAATTTGCCTCTTTTAAAAGAGTTTTGGTTGTGAGGTGCACAAATCAGTGAGACAGGCTGCCCTGAGAAAATGTGCACGTGGGGACTCATTATTCAACGTACGCCTTTATGTATTAGACGTTAGAAAAATTTTCTATAAATTGTCTCATTACCCCTGGCTCCAAAAATGAAATATAGGGAGTTTGCACATAAGGAATCTAAGGTCCAGGGGGCTTAGGCATGTTCAGGTCACCTCGCTCCATGTCTTCTTCACAGTAGTGACTCAGCTGATCACACTCAGGGCCTGTTGACATCATCATCAGAGCCCTGGTCTCGGGGAGCTTCAATGGTTCCTCATATCTTGAGCTAACAAGCTGAAACTCTGTGTCCCTTTGCAGTCCCTAGCGCTTTTGTTCCCATCTGTATCTATCCTTCAGGAACCTTGGCAGAGCCTCCTGGTGAGGCGGTAGGAATTTGGCTCCCTCAGACTTGAGAAGGGGCCGTGCTGGAGCTAGGATTCCAGCCTTGTGCTCATCAGCTCAAGCTGGCTCTGCATGCTCATCTGTTTGAAGACTTGAGACGCCTTCTTCATGCAAGTTGGGAGATTCAAAGGTGTTGTCATTCAGTGTGTCAAGGGGTGCCTCTGTATATGCAACTATTCAACTGTTAATGTACCTGGAGAGAGCCATGGCCCATCACCAGGCTCATATTTTTAAATATTTGTTCCTTCCGTACCTGCCTAAGGAAATCTAGAATTGTGTCTGACTGCTTTAATAAAGACTGCTTTTAATAATCAAACTGCACATCTTGGTCTTCATGTGGGTCCCCTAACATGTGGGGGTA